TGCATCATGCAACAAGCGATCAGAATAGCGTCGTGCTCTTCATAATCAGCTTTCATCTCATTCCCAATCTGTTGGAAACATAGATTGTGCTTTGCTTCAAGGATAGCTTTACTGTCTTTAGTACTGCCACTTCCTTCTTTGGTATGAATACCAGATTTTAACTTGTTCTTCAACGGTTTCAATTCTCTTTCTCAATGCTTGCGTCTTGTCGCAACTCGATTCTTGTTCTTATTGGCAGAACTGCCACTCCTGCTCGAAGGCCATTCTCTTGGTCTTTTTGGAACTTGGGAAAGGTTCAGCCCAGACATTGCAGCTTGCGCATAGGTTTGCCCAGATTGAGTGACTTTTGCTACTTGAGGCGTTTCAGGCTCAAATACAATCTCTTCTTCTGGTGGTTCTTGTAGGTCCTCCAGATCAGTAACGAGGCTCCCAATATCATCGGTTCCTCTATCGATATTTTCTTGATGGTGATCCAATTTGGCCACAATAGGTTCTTCCTCTTTGTCGCCTTCATCACCCAAATCGTCGTCTGATTCATAGTTATCATCTCCTTGGAATCTGACAGTGAGTTCTGGCATGTCATCGACATCATTGTCTGCATCTGCCAAAAGCTCTTCTCTTTCAGAGTCATCGATATCATCGAATTGTCCATGTAGATTGAAATCACGTTCATCTTCATCTTCAGGTTCATAGTCCTGATCAAAGGCTTCTTCTAAGCAACCTTGTTCCGTGTCATCCACTCCTGCAATTTGATTGCCATCTTGAAATGTCTCCAAATCTCTCTTCTTATCAAAGAACTTCATGGAAGTAACACCTTTGGCAGCAGCCCAAGCTTCAACACGCTTGATTACTTGATCGGTAACGGGTAGTACAACGACCTTGGGTCGGGAAAGCATCTTCTTAGTATTCAGGTTGAGTACTCGGTGCCCAGTACGTTGTCCCTTCGTAGGTTCAATGTAAATCGCTTTGATACTTCTGGGTTCCATTGAATTGTTGGAATCCGTCCCAATTGCATGAACATATTGTCCAAGTTCAGCAACCATGTCACTCTTGTACTTGATATTGACATTATCAATAAGTTGCTGCGGACTGAAATGTGATGAGATACTGTCTTTTTGAGGAAAAACATTCAATAGCTCGGCGGCTCGACATCCAAGACATTCAGTGATCACTTTTGGAACCACTTTGTAGGGTAATCGTGCAAGAGCTACTCTGACTCTTTCTTTCAAAGTCCTATTGTTGCGCTCAGCGGTAGGCTTGTGGTCTCCAGCTGCAGTTGGGTCAATAGTAACACCCATATTGTCTAGCATATCATCCGTGAGAGGAATGAACGCCCAATCACACTTGATGATCTTGACTTGAAAGCCTGCCTTGTTGTAGCGGCGGAATATCTTATCCAATGCTTCAAATACAGGGTCAGTCTTCAGG